ATAGATATGTAGGTACAGGTTAGGTTAGGTTTTATTTATTTCGTAAAATAAATAGTAGAAAATAAACTTTTTTGGTTATAATTTAGAAATAAATTGGTATTACAAAATTAAATAATATTCGTGTTGATTATTTCTAGTTTCTGGTGGTACCTTATAACGTATAATAAAAATAAATAATAAATACATTATAATATGTTCATACATCCTTTATAATTTTTTATTAATGTATAATTTTTATAATATTTTTATAATGTAATATTTACCTATTATAATTTTAGTTTTTTTTTTATCAGGATTATTAAATTTATTCAATAATAAAGTATGTAATATATAATATGTGTTAAAGTATTAAAATCAAAGCAAAATATGTAGTAAAATAAAATTTATAAATACGTAATTAATTTTTTTTTTCCACTTCGCCTATAAGATTCATTCGGTTATAAGACTCACTTTGTGCTGGTCCCAAAGTGAGTCTTATAAGCGGCGTCTAATGTATTTACCTACGATAGGTACAGACAGTTATATGTACACATAAAATATAATTTATAATTTATGATTAATTAGAGGTTCCGGAAAATCTTGTCGTGTCAAAAAAACAAAACAAAACAATTAATGGGTAAGCTATTTATTATTATATGTTATAACATGCATAATGCATACATAGACACTTAAATCTACGTGTACGTACTATATAAATATATATTAATTCAATGTTCAATGCACCGAGCCACCGACTATTGAAAGACATGCTATATCTACCTTGTTGTCGCCTATTGTTTTCACAGCACTGTTAAATAGTTTCTATACTTTTTAAGAGGAGCGACTGACCTTTCTATAATATGTACTGTATTATGGCCGGCTGTTACAGGTATTATGTTAGTAGGTACATAATATAATGCCATCACTAAGACTGACTGAAAACCCAAATTAGCTCAACTAGGTAGGTACTACTTTATCTCAAAAACCACAAAAATAGAATATATTGTATTATATATTTATATGTCATATGTGTAAAATGTAGATAACAAATAATAATCATACAAAAGATGAATACATATGATACAATATGTTAATACTGGTTGTATACGATTTCCGTTTTCGGGCCTATAGCCTATAGACAGACTGTTTGCCCGAAAAATTGACAATGTTGCATACTTTTTGTGCTCAATCGGGCTGTTAAAAAATATAGACGGTGTTTAATCGGGTACCACCGATCCAACTCCACTCCCGTGGAGAAAACTCAAAATATTTTTAAATTATTATGACATGAATAGGTATAAAGCTAATATAAATATTTGGTGAAAATTTCAAGTATCTACGGTTATTCGTTTTTGAATTATAACAAAATAAGATCGTTCCATAAGAAATCGTTGAAAAACTTCTGAGTTATGAATAATCTTGTGTTACTTTCTAAAATCCCAGATATAAACAGAAAATGTTTATGAATTTTTTTTTTTATTATTGATCCTCAATCCCGGCATCTATGGCCATTAGCTGTTTGTAGGGTTGTATTGTGGTGGTGGTAGTGTTTGGAGTGAGTTTTTACACGTGAGTGTTTGTGTTTGGCAGAATTTGTATGTGGGCACCCGTAGGTATCTGCCATGCCCTGGTGAGTGATGGCGGCCTTTCTCTCCGGACACCGAAGAAAAATGCCTCCCGTAGCCGGGATCGAACCGGCGTCGGTGCTCGTCGCAACCGACGCCTTAAGGTCCCCACACACTGCAGCGGTGGCGGTGGCGTTAAATTCTATTGTCTTGGCTTCACCGTCGCGGTGAGCGGTGAAATGTGTCCTACAGCAATTCATCGCCACCGCCACCGCTGCAGTGTGTGGGGACCTTAAGTCCGCTTGGCCACTCCGTCCCTCCCGTTTATGAATTTCTAACACAAAATAATTTGCGAATTTTTGTGATTTTGGTAAATGTTATGAACATTTGAATTTTAAATGATTATGAATAGTATGTAGTATGTACATAATATCTTTAATATTTTTAAACCGTTAATGTAACAACTTATATTTCAAGCATTTTGACCCAGCGGACATTTTTATTGATATATATATATATATATATATATAAAAAAAACTAAAAAAAAGTGGATGTCGCTCTGCTGTACCGTAGGTTACAAGTGGGTCACTGTAATGGATTGTGTTAAATTTTAATTCAATGATATAACGGTCAGTCAGTTTATGATATTACTAAGTACGTATATAATATTAGATGATATTATTGTGAAAGTAATTTATATATAAGTAACCTATTTACGTGGAACCTTGCTTAAAATACTCAATCCTTATGCATAAAAGTTGTACATTTTATACATTTTTAATAACAAAATTATTAAAATCAAACTTTAAATGCTTTCAAAAAAAATTGTGCCTATATATTTTTAATATTTTCCAACTGCTATTGTATCAATTTATCAGGAGCCTTGTATTAAATGTTCACGCGTTTTGGCCCACAAAGTTTTATTTATATTTATAGAAAAAAAAAAAACAAAAAAAAATTCAAATTTGAAATTGTCCGTAAACAGCTCAAAACGAGTCAAAATATTTTCAACATTTTATGGTGTGTAGGAAATGAGAATATATTATAAACATTCAGTGAAATGTTCATGTATCTACTCATAGGCGCAAATAGGGGGCCAGGGGGGGACGTAGGGGGTATTAGCATCCCCAATTTTTAAATTAGCCCCCTCTAATAATTTATGTGTTTATGTATCAAAACTTTTCCTTACAATAAAAAAAAAAAATAAAAAACAGTTTATCATCAGACATGAGGGTATCAGAGTATAATGAATGAAACAATGAACTCGACTGCAATTGTAATTTTATCGAATTCAAATCTATTTAGTACCTACATTAATCATTATTTCCCAATGTTTCTACTACACCCGGTCTTTGTGGTTAGGTTAGGTTAGGTTATATTATTATCAGTTATCACGTTCAGCAGCGAATCGGCGATACGACAATATAGTATTTACTAATATAAACAATCCCGTGCCCACATATAATTCGGACAAAACCCTAATTACGATTTACGATATACCTACGAATCATTTGTCAGTTAGTGTTACTTATGAATTACAAGTTTCCGACAGCCTGTGTGATTGTGTATGCCGTATGGTATTATACATACTATAATATCCTATACAGACTGTAACACATAGAACTGACTTTTGGAATAACTTTTGTTATCAATATTTATAATGTTTTTTTATATCCAATTTATAGTCACTTGCTCTACACATATATTATGCTAAAAATTATTTTTTTTTTTAACATTGAAAATAAAAAATTTAAAATTTGATTTAAATTTGTTTGGATATATTCAATATAGCCAATTTGTGGATCTGATTGTAAAAACAATTTTGATAGTAAAAACATTTATCTAAGTCAACAATAGTTTATTTTTTAGAATTTTTGAAATATCAATATTTTTTTGATTAAATGAATTTGGAACGTATAGGTACGTAAGTTATTATAATAACTTTTTTCAAAATATTTATTTTACTAGTATATTAATTCTTAAATTATTTTCTAATCATATAATTTTAACAATTTTTGTCATACGTTTAAGTAGCGTCATTTTTTTTTCGTCAAGTCTTTCTGTTACACCTTGTATACTAATATTTATTTTACTAGTATTTTTTGAATAAAATATAAAAAAGTAGTTTTCAATTTTTAATAAATTAAAATTGACTATTGTATTATTTTTTATAAAATGTACCTAATACACTATAAGTATTCAATGTTAAATTGTCATAAAACGTTTTTGCTTAAAAAATTCATAAATGCCTTATAGTTATAATTTAATTTATATGCCCAGAATATGCAGAGCTTAAGCACCCTCAGTTTTTTTATTGAAATTGCGCCTATGAAAAGAGTCAACATATTACTTACCTATTATTTAGAAAAGCATACAGTGTATGAAAAATTTTAATATAAAAATTCAGTGAACATTTCACGTACCTACCTATATCTGGTGATTGAACTTTCATGTTTTTATGAGTTACAGTAAACCAATGAAATCTAATTTTTCAAAAACTGATTTTGCATAAAAATTCCTATTTTTTCATTAATTGTTTGGGTTTTCCTCGATGCTTTTGATAACTACTAGGAATTTTCAGTTTTGACTTCTCAAAAGCGACAACTAGATTCACTTTCCCATCTGAAAGGTAGGTATTGAAGTTGAAAATCAAAGTATTATTTCGACTACTTTTACAAACAACAGACACACAAAAAATAATCACATATCCTTATAAAATCAATACATTCATTGCTCCGTTCAGAATCTAAAATGAGATCATAACCTAACCTATTGTTGACAGCCCTTTTGTTTAGATGCTCTTAAATTTAGTTATCGTTAACATAAACTATTATCCCTATCCACCACTGAATAATATAAAAAATAGTAACAAGCTATTTTACATAGTTGTTCATTAAAATATTTTACCCATTTCTTTATTATGCTTTATAATTTGATAATAATTTTATATAATTTATATTCATTAATTTTGATAGACGTCAATTGTAAATAATAGTATATTAATTAATTAATTGTAATACCTACACGGCTACACTATCATAATATCATGCCATTGTTTTTCGCTTAACAATAAGTACCTACGTTGTACAATAATATATGTACAACTATAGTAACATTAACATTAGTTATAAGCACACACTCTGTATTGTTATGTTGACTAAGAGTCTTGCCAATATTGTTTTACAGTTATTCGAGATTTTTTTAAAACAACAGAGACTGATCAGTGATCATAGAAAGCCGTAGTTGGTAGGTGTAGTAGGTAGGTTATAGTGTTACCTATACCTACTAAATAATCTAGAGGTAGGTAGGTACCATGCAGGTTGGTATGCATATGGTCAGTATACGCCGTCAACATTTTCAGTGCAGTTGTGTAAATGCTTCTAATATTTTTTTAGTATTAATTTTTATATTTAAAAAATAAGTATTTGTAATATTAATGTGATCACTTTGAAAATCATGAACCCGGATACAAGGTATATAATACTACATTTATAAATTAACAGCAGGCATACATAGTATATATTATAGGTACCTTCGTTTGTTCGTGTATATATAGGTAATGTAAGAGTATATGACTAAAGGTAACATTTAGATATGATATACATAATACATATTATTATCCGAGGACCAATATAATAGGTATATTTCCAAATTTTAAGTACAGTTTAAACAATCGTATTTTCTATAAAGTATAAAAAATTATATATTTATATAATATACATAATATTATCATCTGAACTACTCAAAAACTATCGTACGTTATAATATTTTAAATATTTATATATATATATATACATATAAAAAGTATTATCATTAATTATGAATACGGTCTTATAGTCACATAATATCAGATATTGTATTTTATCTACTTTACTGTTATATAAAAAATATGTATGTTTTTATAGAGATATAGGTATATGTACCTCCATGCGATCAACAAAAATAATGAATATATCTTAATTTTACATGTAATTTAGTCTGACTTCTATGTTATATCAACCAACAATAATAGGTACGACCAAACGTATTTTTATCAAGATAATATTTTTTATTAAATCATATAACGCTATGTACCTATAATTATTTTAAAAATGAATATTCGTTATCTCGAAAACTATTAACGTTTTTGAAAATATTTTTTTTACATAATTTAAAATCATAACAAAACATATTTTTTTTTAAATATATACATATATTTATAAAAACACAATTTTTTAAGTTTTTTTACTTTTTTGGATGATGAAATAAGTTTTTAATTTCATATTTCAGTTAAATTTGTGTAATTTAAGCTACTACTTAAATATGTATTTACTCTTTTATTGCTATGTTCTTTATACATTCTACTCAAAAATCTTTATGGCGTTTATTCAACAAAATTAAATTAAAAATAAAATAATATTTCTAAGCCCAATGTTTTTCTAAGAGTTTTGTAGTATAAAAATTTAATTTCGAACAAGTGAAGCTAATTAAAGAGGTATAAGGTATATCTAATAAGTATTTAAAGTTTTGATGGACGGAGTAACCTAACCTAACCCAGAAAATGTGGGTCTATTACTTCATGTATCGAAGCTATAAATGCCTTGATACTCTCAATTTTTATTGAAATAATGTAAAAAGTAAAAACCAAATAAAATATGTCTAGTTATTAAAGAATTAATATTAAGTGATATCAGTCATTAATATTATTGTATAAATTATAATAGATATTATATGTAACATAAAAATGTAAATAGTAATTTTATATAGGTACCCAGTGGGCCAGCCATGCCTGGTATAATATATAGGTAGGTATTAAGATTACTCGTGACCTATTATACCTATATAATGTTATGGACGTTACACCGACGTTTGATGTCTCCTTCTTACGAATGCGTAACACAGAAAATTGTACGCTCAACAAACACGTTTAGCTCCGTTAGTTTAAAAATTATAGTGAATTGACCTCTTATAAAAATTAAAGATAAGATTATTATCTTGGCAATCTCATAGGCTTTTTATTATATTTTAATTTTAAAGCGAGTTAAAAGTATTTCAAAATTGTAAATTGTTTGTACATCGTATAGTACTCATAACTCGCTTTAAAATTAAAATATGATGAAAAGCCCATGAGATTGCCTAGGTAATAATCTTACCTTAAAATTTTATAAGAGGTCAATTCACTCTAATTTTTAAACTAACGGAGCTAAACGTGTTCTGCTGAGCGTACGATTTGGTATGTTACGCACTTGTAAGACGGAGGCAACAAATGTCAGTGTAACATCCTCTTAAATTTAATATTTTAACAGTTGAGACTAAATATAACACAAATATTCTTAAAATAAAAATAGATCTAAAAATATAGTATAATGATAAGTTAATAATTGTATGAATACGGTTTTGGAATTGCCAGTAGAAGATTAGGTTATAGTTAGGCAGGTAGGTACCATAGATATGTAGGCATTATAATAGTGATTTTAGTACGTATTTTGATTAGTATACACTATTTATACTTCTTGCAACAATGTATTAAATAGAATGGTTCATTTATTTCACTTTAAATAAACGTTCTTATAAATGCAAGAAAAAATATAAAATATCATGTACCTGAAAATTTAAAATCAACGTTGAATATTGATGTTATGATAAATAATAGTTCGACTTCAACACGGTATGGCCTGCTTAAAAATCTTTATATTCATTTTAAATTGTTATCGTGAATTTATTTCAAATAAATAAAATATCCATGCAAATCAATGAAATTTAACTAGAATTTTTTTTTTTTTGAGAATATCCAAAATTCAATTATCTCGAGCTCATTAAATTTAATTTTATAAGTATGGGCGTTTTTAATTAAATTTTTTAATTCCAATACGCAGGTAACTCGGTTCATCATTCCCTGTCAGTTATTCTTATTATCTTTAAAACTTAAACACGATCACAGATAACTTATGTTCAGTCATCAGTCATCCTCACATTTTGGTATATCCTTATACCCGATATTAATTATTTTATTAGTACTGTCTTTATTTTATTGTAAATATTGTTTGTCATTTGATATACCTACCTCGTGACCTGTTTGGACCTAACCAGCGAAAGCAGATTTACTGCGACTGTAAAATATGTATTACGTTGCTATTGAATACATGATTTTAAATATGTAATTAAATTATATTTAATTTAATTGATTGGTACTACCTAATTGTCCTAATTAGTCATTAATCGCTATCAAATTGTTGGTCTTTACTCTTTGAAGACCATGATTCTTCGAACGAAAAAGATTATATAACCATATAAACATATGGACTTCGGCACCATACTGTTCATAAACGTAAAATTATTGATCATAATATTATTCATAACATTATTCTGAATATTAAAATAAATAACGATTTAATAATGCATGGATCTGTTATGATCGTTGTTTATTACGTTGTTCCAAAGCCCAAAGGCTAAAATATTTGGTAGGGGCTTATGGGCTAAGGTCTCCAAAATCTTAACAAGCTCCCATTTTAATAATACACGATCGATATACTGCAGTAAATTTGTATATAGTTAATAGTCAGTAGTTAATACTAACTAGTAACTTTCTCCTATATGAAGTGTTGCACTCTGCTAATTATTAGTCTTTAAAAATATCAGGGATTGAATAGCCCTCCCCAGAAATGTTTGTCCGCATTTACACCACTGCTGTTACCTGTGATTAATTATTGCGTCAATGACAATCATACAATTCTCACTAATACTCCAATAGTCTACCTAAAGTCCTATAGTCATTTGAATAATGATTTCCTATATTAAAAATAAACCAAAACCGTGTGCCAAAGTAGAACACTTTTAGTGCTCCCTAAAATAAATTTAATAAAACGTTTTCATCATCATTAACCAGAGCACTTAATAGCATCCACTACCCATTTCCTGACAAAGCGGACTAATGGCTTCTATCTTAAACTTTTTTTAATCTTAGTTTTAGTATTATAAAGTTTAAGAGTAACTATATATTAATCGTCAAACAATAAAATATTTTATAAGAATATTTAAAAAATTTTAAATGTAAACGCAGTTATAAGATAATTTGTAATAAATAATTTCTATTGTCAAATGTTAGTTTTCGGTTAAGAAGGTTTACAAGTATTCATGGCGATGAAATGCATTTTTTGTATAATTTTACTATTGTAAAGTAAAATATTTTAGTACAATAATAGTTAAATGCCAACACCGAAACATTAACATAATTTATACATAACCTTATAGGTACTATTCGTGGTTGTAACTTTCATTTTCTTAATTTCCATGAAGTCTATATGACTATAATATAATGCCTATTATATTCTACATAATTAAATAGAAAATAGTTGTTTGCATGTCAACTTTAACTGTGTTTACTAAACAGTTTCTCTGACAGTTGTAATATAATAAATAATAATATAGGTAGGTACAAGCCATTATATACATTACGATTGTTTGAGATTCGTTCCAACTTCCAAGTTTACATTCTAACTTCTAAGCATGAAATTATGAATCAAGGCCTTAAAGAGTATACTTGTAAAAATATTTGTGTTTCAACCTTTTTAAAGTTCTTATTGATACAAAATGCACACCTATAGTGGCTAATACTTATAAGCAACCTAACGAGTTTGTAACGGCATATTGTAATTATTATGCATTACTATTTAATACTTTAAATTACGGGTTGTTATAGGTATATTTCTAACACAACCGGTTTGTCTAAGCTTTCTAATAGAATAGTTTTTAATATGAACCCATCGAAGTACAACAAACGACAAGCGTAGTTCACGTATTGCGAATGACGTGCTAAATTTAAGACTCGCCCCACATTGACCTTAACACCTCTCATATATATTGTATACAAAAACACAATCTGCATGATAATCATAATTCTACGAACAAAATTAAATTTCTAAAATAATATATAAGTACCATTTGAATCTTTGCATCTTATTGTTAATGATTTAAAATTATAATTTATCATAATACAGTCAACTCGCGATATAACGAATATCGATATAACGAAAATCTTGATATAACGAATAAAACTACCGGTCCCTTGAAAATATCGCGGTATAATATAATTTCGATGTAACGAACTTTCGATATAACGAATTTTTTTCTCGGTCCCTTGAAGTTCGTTATATCGCGAGTTGACTGTATGAACTATGGCGAAACAGCTAATATTTTGGGATTAACCTTTGAGAACTAGTAGGTATAGGTATAATAATTAATAGGAAAGTAATTTTAAGAATAGTGAATACTATAGTATAGTATAGTATAGTCGCAATTTAAGTTTTTAAACACCAAATTAACAATGTTTTCTAATTTTCTTATAAGCTATTCAATTAGTAATTTATCATAAGTCATTGAGGACTTTAGGCTACTGTATACCAATTAATAGATTTGCGAATTAAATAGATTGATGATTGATGACACAGCCTATGGCATATATCACTTATATATATGTTGGGTATTAAATATCTTGCACTTACCTTCGATAAACCTGGAGCCCACACATACAACTTAAGCTTAAAACTGTTAACTCTAGACTTCACCTCCTAAGACCATTATTGAATTCCAAACTCTCACTATCCAATACACATACTATATATTATATGTCAATAATTTTACCAGTTTGTACATACAGTATTCAGTTATGGAGTTCTACAAAGCCATCCAAGCGTTTCAATCCATATGCTTACGACTATGAAACGTCTTCTCCTTGGTATTTCACAAACAATAATCTTCACGAAGACCAAACATTCCTATACCCTTAATCAATTAACAAAATTATATTACTTTAAATTTCATACTAAATTAAACTATCACAGAAACTTATTAATCAAACAACTATACTTCATCTCAGTTCCCTGTAATTTACGTAGGAGACTCAAAAGACAGTGGCCTACTCAAAAATAAAAATAAAACAATAGGTAATACCTAAAAAGTACTTGGTCGGGTGGCACTGCCATAAACACTACCTCCCGTTAATAACCTTGTATCAAATTTATCCATTGTACTAATTGTATTTTATAGAATACGGTAAATAAAATGTTTAATAAATAAAAAAAAAAATATGTTATATATTATAATATATTATTAATATATATCACATTTATAAAATTGAATAATAAGCATTTAAATGATTAGATACAAGGTCGTATCCAGAAATGTTTTCCGGGGGGTTTCAAAACATGTATAGCTATTGTTATTTTATTGAATTTAGGTTTTGATATTTGGTTAAAAATAAGACATATTAAAAAAATTTCGTGGTGAATGGTGCAGAGGGTCTGGACCCCCCTCAGATACGGCCTAGTTAGTATTTACTATTTACTATTTCAATACTTCAAAATAATGGTTTTTGAAATTATTAGGTGTACAGTGTACACTTTAAAAGTTGTACGAATACCTACCATTAATATTGTACTGCAGGGTTGGAATAGTAGCTAAAAGAAAAAATATAATATATGTGTAATAATATATAAAAGTCTATTATATATTGTGCTTTTAATTCCACACACATCCAACATGTACGGTATAACTGCAGTTAATTCCATTCCCACTTCCTATTTCCTATGTACCTATGGTTTTAAAGGTAAGATAAAGGTTCAAAGTTTCAACTTCTTAAAGATGTGAGGTAAAAATATTGATTATCGAGTAGAGATTAATTAAATTTAATAGATACCTATAATTTGCATTTCTACTCACGATTGAAAATAATGTGTATGGTGTACCATTATGTGCACACTATACACTTTATAGTGATTATTCAAGAGAAAGTATGGAACTCTGAACTTCTATTCCCAAGTCTATAAAAATTATAAAGTAGGTACCTACTATCTATATGAAAGTGGCACATATAATATTATTGTCATACATATTATATGTATTTTTTCATAAATATAGAGATAAAGTTACACGATTTAATAAAATCATTTATTTTGTTATTATTATTTATTAGGTAGGTATGCTATTTATACTACTAATATAGTTTATAATATTATGTTTCATATGATATATATTATATATTAATGATTTACAATGTTTATTTTTTTAGAGAGAGAACCGAACCAGTATTAACAAGTGATTTGCCAAACGATCATTCTACTGTATCCGTTAACTGCCGTATTGCTCCAATTAAAGAACCTACAAATCAAAATAACAACAATAATAACGAAATTGAAGCATTCAGAACTAAATCGAAGAAAACATTCAAAAATGCTTTACCACAGGTACAGTTATTGGTTTTAAGAGTTTACTAAACCCATAAATAAACAAATTTAATACCTATCTATAATCTATGTAATTATATATTTATTATTTATATAGTTATCTAATTAGATATCAATGATTCAATTTTCAATTAATCAAATATTACTAAGTAGTAGATATTTAATGCCTTTAAATTATAATATTATTGTAATTCAAATAAATGTAGGTATTTTTGTATAAACTAATAAAAGTTATAACTTATAACAATAATACAAATTATATTGTGACTGGGTCACTGGGATTAATAAACAGTTATAAATTATAATATTTAGATTCTTTTTTTTATATATTATAAATGTTCATAAAACATTTCTTGGTTTGGAAAAACTTTATAGTTTAATAAAAGATTCCTCATAAGTCATAAGTTGTTCTTACTGGTACTAAAAAATAAAATTTTTAATAGTCACTTAATTTTTTTATGAACATTTTAAATTCAAGTTATTACGAAATTGGTTGGAAATTATACTCACAGTCAAATATTCAAAATATTTAAAATTCGTTTTTTGGTTTTTAATATTTATAAAATGTTCAATTTTAATATCGGCGTCTTGAATATCAATATCATTGAAAGTTAAATACATACATTATACAGAGCCCTACTCAATAACGATTAAATGTGGTACAGTCACGTCTACTATAATAAATAATAATACATACAGCAGAGCGAGTTCCCAGTTTTAATATCCATTTTAAATAATTTTAAACTGCAGTAATAAAATAAACTTGATTCAAATTATTCTGAAAAACTATTATTAGATATTATTATGATGGAAGTTGAAGGTCATGGGGCTCATCCTGTATTTAAATAATACAATACAATCACAATATTGAAGATACATTTTCCGGAATTTTTACAATGTAAGACCTTGAAAATTATATAATTATTGTTAAATGAAATATTTATAGGTACTTACCTAACCTATATAATATAACTATGAGTTGTAGTATAAAATTGTTTATAATAAAAGTGAATACAAATAATAAACAACGTAAAATTATAATCGTTACTTTGAATTCGTGTAAATAACTATTCACTTATAGCTACCTATATAATATATTATAATTTATAATATATTATAATTTGAATTAATTACTTATTTACTTTTAACAATAAAAAAGGGGTGGATACAGGTAAAAATTTCAGCGGGAGAGGGGGTTGAAAAATAATAAATTATTTATTAGTAATAGCCAATAGGTACATTAACATTTTGTAGGTCAGGTAATTTATTTTTTGTTTCTGTCCTACCCCCTGTTCCACGATTTTTGTTGTGGGGGGGGGGTGAATTTTTGACCCCCTCAACCCTGCGATCGTCCCTGATAAAATCATATGAAGAAGTTGAAGTACCTATTGGAGATTTACTGAGGTTAAACCTCACCACCTGGGGGTTGAAAGCTTATAATATTCGTTTTACAATAAGTATTTATGTAATTTTATAATTAATTATAACTTATTAATGTAAAAATTATAGAAAGTCTGAAAGTATCATAATAACTTGGGTTTCTTGAGTTCAATAATGACATTTCTTTTGTATGATCTGCGTGTCCAGTAAGTTGTTAAAAGTCGTATTCCAATTTGTATTGTATAATTACCGCGGGGGCTGGCTCGGATCTAGAAGATTTAAACAGGGGATGCTCCATCAAAAAAAGGTTGGCAAGTGGGTGTCTCTCTGCTGTACAGTAGGTTACAATTGGATCACTGTAGTCTATAATGGAAGGTATTAAATTTGAATAAAATTCAATGATATAATATCATTGTATAAGAATAACGATTCTGAGCGAAGACAGTCAGTCAGGCTATAATATTACTAATTTAAAAAAATCAAATAATCAAAAATTCAAAATTAGATACATTTTGTCAACTTTTGAACTTTAAATGCTTATAAAAAAATTTTGCCTTTATGTATTTTAAAAAATTTTCAACTGGTAAAGTAAAAATATAGCAGGAGCCTTGTATCAAATGTTGACGCATTTTGACCCAACAAAAAATTACATTTCATTGACAATTGTCAATAAACAAAACAAAAAAAATTTTAAATGTCCGTAAACAGCTCAAAACAAGTCAACATTTTTTGTAAATTTTATCAAGTATGGGAATTGATAAGTTGTTATATGGTGTAAAATTCAAGTATCTACAGTTATTCGTGTTTGAATTACAACAAAATAAGAAAATCGCAACATTCCTACATGAGAAATCGAGAGAATACTCAATGATGTAAAAATTTAATTTGACTTTCCAGTTGATAATCTTTAAATGCTTATAAAAAAAAATTGTGCCTATGTATTTTTAATATTTTTTAACTGCTATTATAATATATAAGAAGCCTTGCATTAAAATTTCACGCTTTTTACCCAAAAAAAAAATTTTTATTGATATTTATAGAATAAAAAAATTAAAAAAATTGAAAACTGACAATGTCCGTAAACAGTTCAAAAAGAGAGAAATTATTATAAAAAAAGTATGGTGTAAAGAAAATGCTAATATAAACATTCAGTGAAATTTTCAAGTATCTACAGTCATTCGTTTTTCAATTACAACAAAATAAGAAAATCGTTACCACATGAGAAATCGAGTGAATATCAAATGTTGTAAAAATAAGAATTTCAAACTCTCATAAAAATTTAATGTGAGTTTCTTCTAAAATTTTTTTTTTTTTTTGATAAAGGTAGATAAACTTATGAGGAATCTTGTATTACATTTAAAAATCTTAAATTTTATGAATTTCTAACTCAAATAATTTGCTAATTTTCGTCATTTTTACGTATTTTGTCAATATTTCTACTTTAAATGCTTATAAAAAAAAATTATGACTATGGATTTTTAATTTTTTTCATCTGAATTTGAAACAATATACTAGGAGCCTTCTATTAAATTTGCAAAATTTTTATCCAACAAATAAAATTGTATTGATATTTATAGAAGAAAAAAAACTAAAATATGGAAACTGAAAATATCCGTAAACCGCTCAAAATAAGTCAAAATGTTTAGAAATGTTATGTTGTTTTGAAAATGCTAATATAAACATTCAGTCATAATGTCTGTACTTATGGTCATTTATTTAAGAGTTGCTCCATAAACCAAAATTGATTTTTTTGAAAACAGATTTAGAGTAAAAATTCCAGTTTTTCATTAATTTTTCTTTTGTTTTTCCCGTCGCTTTTGAAAACTACTGGAAAAATTTTACTTTTGATACTCCAAAGTACCAACTAGATTCACTTTCCTTTTAGAAAAGATATTATTGAAGAAAATCTAAGCACTTTTACTGTCCCAAAAGCGGATGGCAGACACAAAAAAAAAATTTTTAAAAAAACACACATCATTGTAAAATCAATACATTCATTGTTTCACTCAGAATCTAAAACTGAACATTTTATAATTTTTGAATTACAGTGATTGATAATTTTCGAGATTATGATAAATTTTATCAAAATTAGAACTTCAAATGCTTATAAAAAAAATGTGTGCCTATGTATTTTTAATATTTTACAATTGCTATTGTAACAATATATCAGGAGCCTTGTATTAAATTTTCAAGCATTTTTACAATAACAACAAATACAATTTTATTGGCAATCCTAGAAAAAAAACTAAAAAACTGAAAATGTAATATGTCCGTAAACAGCTTAAAAGAAGTTAAAATATTTTAAAAATTTTATCAAGTATAAGAATTGATAAAATAAACATTATTCAGTGAAATTTTCATGTATCAGTTATTCGTTTTTGAATTACAACAAAATAAGAAAATCACTGCATGTGAAATCGAGTGAAATAATGAATATCCAATGTTTAAATAATTTCAAACGCTCATAAAAATTTAATTTGACTTTCTTATAGACATTTTTTTTTGATAAAGGTAGATAATCTTATAAGGAATCTTGTATTACATTTTAAAATCTTAACGAATTCTTAACTCAAAATAATTTTGCTAATTTTCGCTAAAAAATGCTAAAGGATTTTTAATATTTTTCAACTGCTATTGTAACAATTTAATAGGAACCTTGTATTAAATTTTCAAGCTTTTTTACCCAACAAATAAAGTTTTATTGACATTCATAGAAAACAAAAACTAATAAAATTGGAAACTGGAAATGTTCCTAAACAGTGGGCAACGTACGACGCATTATTATTTAAAGCAATAAATCTACGAGTATATAAATATATAAAGAAAATACAATTATAAAATCATAGTTAAATAAACATCAATACATTGTAGTATCTACCTAAATACTTATTATAGAGTTTATAAATAATAAAAATATATAATTATCTATTTTTCATGTAAAAATTATTTAAGTAATTTTAATGATATGACAACGGACATAATTTTATATAAATTTATTTGAATCTGGTATGTGACCTATCATAATGAAAACAATGCTAATAACATTTTTAAAATTTCAACAAAAACGATAACATGTGTAGATGTAATACAAGCAGATAAGAATAATAATAATTAACCCATACTAATAAAAATGTAGTATTAAGTGAGTACTAAGTGTGAGTTAAAATTAAAAAAAGTAAGAAAGATAACCATTCTGGTGTACTGTATAGGCGTCAAGTGTACCTACCTAATTTGAGTACGTCACTGTAATGGATATGTTAATTTTGAATCCATTGATAAACTATTACACACGAAAAATGATGTTTATGAATATTTTATTATATATTTATAATGTATATAATTGCATTATTGCTATTAGTTTTTAATTTTTTATTAGTAATACAGTAAGGTTGAACTCATTTTTTAGTTTATCTGTATCATCAAAGCCTAAACAGTCCCCTGAAACGAATAATAGTTTAAGTGTTTGCCATATTTTCAATAATAGATGATAGAGCAAAACTATATCATTACAACGTTGGTAATTTGGTAGCTGGTAGGTATATTGTCTACCGGAAAAGCTGAGTTGCACCCAAAAGGAGTTGAACAATCACAATTTATTTTTAAAAGTTGTAATTTTTTACAAGCGACGAAGTGAACGGGACCAGCTAGTATTATATAACAGGCATGTTTACACTTTTACAGTGGAGGTATTTGGGGGTTTAGCTGGTGGGGGGAGTTGTTTTCGTGTAGGTATACGATTATTTTACATAAGGATAACCACGGATCATTTTTAAACCAATACCTACGTCCTATACAGAATCTAAAATTAATAATAAATGGTCAGATATTAATTATTATTACTGTAACATGTGTATCTAAATATAACCTATCAGGTTTTAACGAGTAATTTTAAAAATGTTTAAATAAAATAAACATTTTTTTATCGGATATTAAATTTCTAATTTATATGTAAGTATCATAAACATATATATTGGCTCAGAAATGTTTCTGTTAACACAGAACGAGTGCAAGACCTTTTAAAATAATTCACATTATATAGTTTATAAGCAAATTTAAATCTAATAGGTAGTTCAAGAATGTTTGAACACCTACTAATAAGTTTTTTTTTCTATTTAGATATTGGCTGTATCAGCTAAGAACTGTTTGCTCTTAACATATGGAATGACGTTAGGACTACCAACAATAGCTATTCCAGCATTGTATTCTAATTCAGTATCAAATATCACTAGTGTAAGACATGACGATTTGCTCCAATTGAACAAAGAACAAATATCGTGGTTCAGTTAGTAGAGACTGTTATTATTACTTATACCTATATATATATTAGTACGTTTAAGCTCTTGAAATATATGCGTCTTAATACAATTTTTGTTAAAATGTTTCTAGGCAGCATAAATTTAATATGTGTTCCACTCGGATGTATGATATCTGGAACTATCACTCAACCCTTTGGACGAAAACCCAGCATGATTGCGCTTACTTTGCCATTCATTCTGGCTTGGTTGTTATTTCACTATGCATCGACAGTAACTCAGCTCTACTTAGCTTTAGCGCTGTGTGGACTTTGTGGTGGTTTGCTAGAAGCTCCAGTCAGTATACATTTATTTAGAATAATATGAATTATCTATAATAATATAACTAATTAATTGCTAGGTGTTGACCTACGTTGCTGAAATTACAGAACCTCATATCCGAGGTGTGCTTGCTGCTCTGTCATCGACTACAGTCATACTTGGATCTATATCACAATTTATCTTAGGAAACTTTTTTCACTGGAGAAAAGTTGTACTCTTCAATACTATTGTACCCGTAGTGGCATTTATTTCATTATTATTTATACCAGAAAGTCCACATTGGCTTATAAGTAAGATAATACAACAAATTACAAAATTTGGCTAAATATCTAAAAAAAATGATTTTAAAATTGTGCCTAGGTATAGGTATACCTATATTGTTTTCGATTGAATTGGATTTAGATTTTTATACTTTACATACATTATTAGAAATATTCATTATATTAATTATACATATATTATATATTTATTCCATTTAGCCAAAGGTCGTATCGCCGAAGCTGAAAAGTCTCTATGTTGGCTTCGTGGTTGGGTTCAACCAGATGCAGTACAATATGAACTATCAATGTTAAGTAAATCAATAGCATTAAATGAAGAGAAAGTAAGAATGAAAAAAAACAAAAAATTTTATTCATTTTATATGAGACGAACATTTTTACTACCTTACTTCATCATAACAGCTAGTTTCTTTTTTGGAAGCTTTGGTGGAACGAGTACATTGCAAGTCTATGCAGTAAGTTTCAATAATACATAATAAATAAATTGTACAATATATTGAAATATTGAATTAGAATGTACCTATAAATAACTAATTGTTGTAATATATTATATTCTTAACAATAATGATTGTGTGCAAAACAGGTTCAGATTTTTGAAACGTTGGGGTCTCCGATCAACGGTTATACATCCACATTAGTTCTCGGAATTTTACAATTGATGGGAGGCATTCTTGGTGTATCATTAATTCACTGGACTGGTAAACGTCCTTTAGCAATTGTTTCTACGCTGGGATCATCTTTTTGTTTTTTCGTTGTGTCAGCATACGTATTCATAAAACAATACAATGAGGAAATAATTCTTAACGTTACTTGGATACCGTTAGTGTTTTTGAATACCGCTGCTTTTATGACACATATTTCTATTAGACTATTACCATGGATGTTAATCGGAGAGGTAATTAAACTCGATTATATTATTATAAATATAATAGAGATTTAAAATTTTTAAATATAGTGATACAACTTAATGGCCTGAACTAATAACTATTAAATGTCTAGGTATATCCACCGAATATTCGTGGGCAAGCCAGTGGTGCCAGCGGTTCTAGTTCCTACATATTTTCTTTTATTGCGAATAAGTCATATTTCATGGTACTTGATTGTATTAACTTATCCGGAACATTTCTTTTATACGCCATAGTAAGTCTCATTGGATGTCTAATGTTGTACACCATGATGCCAGAAACAGAAGGTGTACCTTTAGAAGACATTCAAAATCATTTTGCGGATAAAACTAAAACATTTGTTATGAAAATTGAAAGGAGTGATAAAATTAAAGAAAAACAAATGTGGTCAGCAACAAATCCTGCTTTAGAACTAGATCATACTGAAACCCATATATAAATCTTACCTATGTTATTATGTTTTTTTTTACGTTTTTTTTTTAACTATTACATTAATAAATTGTTCATTATATTTATATACATTATGGTTTACAATTAATATATTATTTAATTTTTTATGAATAATTGTGTTATTTTGATTAGCTTTTGGGCTAACAATTTATTACTTATTACTTATTAGATTGGTCAAGCATAAACTGATAAATATTGATATCTACCGTAAAATGGAGTGACTCAATCTTAAGAGAGTTTTGAACGTTTTTCAAAAAATGAACCTCAATAAGAATTTTGTAAAAAATATACAATGTTCTTTAAGTATGTTGAAATCATATACCAGAAGAATAATCATTAAGATCATTAAAGTTCACATTTATTTTTAAAGTAGAACTTTGTCCGGAGTGACCTGCAAAATTGAGTAACTTCGGACACGTATAAGATTTCATTAAAAACCGATGTTATAATTACAATGGACGACTTCGGACAATATAGGTATTTGTTTAAAAAAATGTAATAAATTTAAATAAAAAAAACCCCACACATTTATCGTGAATACAACATAATTTATTTAATATTATCTATGGAAGTTAATGTAGGTTATAATCACAATTTAAGATATACAAACAGATATTAAATATTATAAACCGTGATTATAATGGATATCATGAACTACTACAGCAGTAGACGCTAGACGGTAGTAGTTCATGATTGATAATATTAACGTGGAGTATCAGTTTCCAACTTGTATTAAACATTTAAACCTGTATTCTAAAATGATAAGGTAACTACAAAAACATGGTATTGCACTATTGTGCGGAATCACCCTCGACCCTCCCCCATGTGTCCGAAGTCACACCATTTTAAGGTACTTCAGTACTTGATAGTTGATTAGTATACGTATACATAAGTACATAATAATATAATATTATTATGTTGATGATACAGTAAAAGATGATGATTGAGAAATGTCGTCAAAGAACGTAATGACTAATGAGCTATAGAATATAGTTATATAATGAAATGTTAAAAAAAACATTTTAATAGAGGTTTGAATATTAAATTTAATCATTTTTAAATTAGCCTGTCTTCTTCCCAGAGGTCTAATATCTACACACAAACATTTATTTATTTATATATTTATTGACAAAAAACAAAATACAAATCAACAAACATGCCCGATTAGTTAATAGCAACCAATATAAATTATAATACACTGTTGTATTTTTTTCATCCAGATTTCCTTCTTTTCCGGTTGATTTTCCTAAAATTTTAAATCTTCTCCTGGCAATTACAAACATCTTAAAAAAAAATTGAGCCAAATCGGACCAGCCGTTCTCGAGTTTTAGCGAGACAAACGAACAGCAATTCATTTTTATATATAAAGATATAATAGAACAATGTATATAGATCACGGTTATTTATAACCGTGATATAGATACAATAATATTAAAAGACAACTCTAACATGTATATTAGATACGTTTTCCGTAAATATTTCTACAGGTTACAAGAAATGTTCGAATACAATATGTTATACTTATATAGTTATATGTGGTTACAGATAAACTTGCATAATTACTGTATACCTACCTAGTCAGTAGTCTATATAAGGTATTAAATATTAAAAACGCTCTCCTGTACAATATACCATTTTTGATATACGACATTTTTGTACTAACAGTACGATGTTACTAACATCATAGGCCATAGGCCATAATAAATGTTTAATTTAGAGCTCAGGCACAGAACAATAGGTTCGACGACAAACCAATACGCGCACTTATTATCAGAAGTGGAGAGAGATTGCACAAATAGGCTTTTTTTATATTTAAATATTAATTGAACGTTTTGTTCACATCGATTTGCCTAACTGCCTAAATCATTGTAAATCTGTTTTAAAAATAAAAGCTCCCACACAAACTTGCTGCTGGGGGCAATAGTCCCCCATTGACCCTTCCCCTATAAATGATTGCCGTCCAAACATTTACGTTCCAAATTATTTTCCACATGATAAACACCTATCAGACGATTTAGTTTATTTAGAAAAGGTAGTCTACTAATAATAGTAGGGGGATTTAAAATTTGTAATATTTTTTATTAAAAAAATGAAAAGACATATTTTAGTATTTTCTTCACATTGTTTAATTTTCAATATATTTCACTTTTAGCTTTAACCTTTTTAAATTATATTAATTGTATTAAATTTTAAAATAAATAATACTACATTGTATTCAATTTATTGTTTTAGGAGTTTTAACACAAAAATAAATCCGTAGCTTTTTTTATCTTAGATTTAGGCACGTGCCTACAGCGGAAAATTTTAGATTCTGAGTGGAACGATGAATGTATTGATTTTACAATGATGTGTGTTTTATTTATTTTTGTATCTGTGTACACGCGATAAGTAGTCGAAATAATGCCTCGATTTTCAACTTCAGTATCTTGTTCGTTTGGAAAGTGAATATCGTTGTTGCATTGGGGAGGTCAAATTTTTTAATTCAAAATTTTATTGTTTTCATAAGCGCCGGGGAAAACAATATAAAAATTAAGGAAAAACGGGAATTTTTACACAAAATCGATCTTCAATTTTTAATTAAATGATAATTCAGTTAGTGCAGTATATTGTATTATTATATTATTATTTTATGGTTATTTAGGGCGACAATTGTCCACAGGCCTACAAGCGGAAAACATGTTAATATAACCTGGTACATATTAGCCTTATTAACCTGCATATAGGTACCTACTTCGTGGATTCGTGAATTTATATTATATTAATATATCATACTCATACATAAATACATATAATATTTAAATTTATTACCTAATTGCATTTCAAAAATGATAAATTTTGTGTTTTTGAATTACTATATAACAAGGCGGGTCACAAACTAATTTCTAAGGGGGTCCGTTTTGAAACTTACAAAACTTCCCAATGTCCAAAACACATTTAAATACTCAATGACTTTTTTCACACATTAACTACCTATTAATAACAATCCAAGGCCCGGTTTGTCAGTCATATTTAACTGCTAGTTAGAGACATATATAATTAATTGTAATAAAACGTACTTTGGAAATTCTTAGATATCGTTTTAGATTCTGAGTGAAACGATGAATGTATTGATTTTACAATGATGTGTGTTTTAGATTCTGAGCGGAGCGATGAATGTATTGGTTTTACAATGATGTATGTTTTTTTTTATTTATATTTTTATATTTTTATATTTTTGTGTCTGTCATCACGTTTTGGGACAGTAAAAGTGCTTCGATTTTCTTCAATAGTACCTTTTCTGATAGGAAAGTGAATCTAGTTGGTACTTTGGGGGGTCAAAAGTAAACATTTTCCAGTAGTTTTCACAAGCGCCGGGAAAAACAACATAAAAATTAAGGAAAAACGGGAATTTTTACGCAAAATCGATTTTCCAAAAAATCGAATTTGGTTTTTGGTGTAACTTTAAAACAAATGACCGTAGATACATGAAATTTTCACTGGTTGTTTATATTTGCATTTTCTATACACGATAACATTTTCAAAATATTTTGATTTATTTTGAACTGTTTAGGGACATTTTCATTTTTCATTTTTTTTTAGTTTTTTTTCTAGAAATATCAATAAAATTTTATTTGTTGGTTGCGAAAGCTTGAAAATTTAATAGAAGGCTCCTAATATGTTGTTTCAAAGGCAGATGAAAAATATTAAAAATCCTTAGTCACAATTTTTTTTTATAAGCATTTAAAGTTCAAAAATTTACAAAATATGGAAAAATCACGAAAATTAGCAAATTATTTTGAGTTAAGAATTCGTAAAAATTTTTCTTTTTAAATCTAAGATTTGAAAATGAAACACAAGATTCCTTATAAGATTATCTACCTTTATCAATAAAAAAATCTCTACCGGACAGTCAAGTTAAATTTTTATGAGCGTTTGAAATTAAAATTTTTACAACATTGGATATTCACTCGATTTCTCATGTAGCGATTTCCTAATTTTGTTGTAATTCAAAAACGAACAACTGTAGATACATGAAAATTTCACTGAATGTTTAAATTAGCATTTTCTATACATCATACAATTTTGAAAATATTTTGACTCTTTTTGAGCTGTTTAGGGACATTTTCAGTTTTCAATTTTTTTAGTTTTTTTTTTTATAATTGTCAATAAAATTTTATTTGGTGGGCCAAAAAGTCTGAAAATTGAATACAAGCTTTCTTATATATTGTTACAATATCAGTTGAAAAATTTTAAAAATACATAGGCACGATTTTTTTTTATAAGCATTTAAAGTTGGAATTTTGACAAAATTCATCAAAATCTCGAAAATAATCAATCGTTGGAATTAAAAAATTATAAAATGTTCAGTTTTTATAACTAAGAGTTGAAAATTTAAAACAAAGATTCTCTTAAATAATTCATACTGTAACCAAAAAATCTAAAAAATATATAAACACACTTATTTTTTACAGACATTTTAATTTCAAATTTGGACGAAATTACATATTAAAAAACCTAGAATAACTATTTTAGTTATTTTGTTGTGATTGAATAATATTATTCGTGGGTACTTGAAACTTCTAAAGTGTACTATTATATATCTATGATAGTATCACGGTTTTTGTTGATGTATAACGCGTTATAAGTACTTAATGGATATTTTGATATGATTAATTTTGGAATTTATTATAGGTACCTACCTATTATAGGTCAAATTTTGGTTTAGTACCATAGATATGTATAATGTATATAATATGTCTTATACCTAGACTGACATACTGTCTCCGCTCAGAATCGTTTTTCTTATACAATGATATTATATCGTTGAATTCAAATTTAATATCATCCATTATACAGTGACCCACTTGTAACCTACTGTACAGCAGAGCGACACCCACTTGCCCACCTTTTTTTTTTTATTTTTTTATTTTTTTATTTTTTTATTTTTGTGTCTGTGTACACGATAAGTAGTCGAAATAATGCTTCGATTTTCGACTTCAGTATCTTGTT